CTCTCGCACGCCTGCGCAGGGCCACACTCAGACCGCTGCGCTCACTCTCTCTCTCTCGCACGCCTGCGCAGGGCCACACTCAGACCGCTGCGCTCCCTCACCCTGCTGCACGAGCTGCGTCACCGTGGCGCGCATCTGGGCGCCCTGCTGTCTCCACCAGCGGTAGAAGAAGGCCGTCTCCACGTAGATGAAGCGGCGCCGGGGGTCGGCGAGCAGCTGCTCGATCACCGAGTCCAGGATGTACTGCACGCCGGCGTGCTGGATGTCATTCCGCGCTGGGCACGAGAGAGGACCACAGGTTACTGACCCGGGCAACTTACTCCAGTCACCCACCACCCTTAGCGTAATGAGGAATCCCTCCGAATTCGCCTATAGCATCCAGCAGGGGCCCCAGGCCCCTCACTGCTGGGCACAGTCCCCCCAACCCCACAGAGCCCCCCCATTCTCCCGCGCTCAGGGGAGATTCAGCGCCTAGAGATCGCGTTCGACCCAGACGGGCCAGAGACACAAAGCCCATCAGAAACTGGGCTGGGGCTGATGAGCGGTTCTCTCTCCACTTTTCTTCCTTCCGTTTTCGGGGTTTTTAAATGTGCAGTCCCAACACCCGCAGAGAAGAGGAACTGGAGCTCCTATCGGTCCTCCTATCTCTGCTCTTATCTGGCAGCTCAGAGTGGGGCAACAGACTGCAGCTGCACTGTCTGAGCTGCGATCACACTGCAGCCTCCCGGCCCCCACCCAGGCCCGAACCCGCCGCCACAGGGACGCACGGGCGAGCAGGGGAGAGAGAGCCCCCAGCCGGGCAAGACCCAGAACGACCCCAGCTCCACACCGGCACCCCCTCACCTCCGTAGTAGTACTGGTCCACAGTCTTGAGCCAGCCCACGTCGTCGTGCGTGTGGGGCACCAGGTGCACGTTCAGCATGGAGGGCCGGGTAGCAGGGCAGGACTGCACACAGAGCAGAGAGACGCCAGGGTTACCCCAACACAGGCCAGAATCACCCCCCTCTCTGAGCTCCCAGCTCACCAGGGCCCTGGACAGAAGGCTGGGGTCCCCACGACTCCCAGCTCCGCAGCGCCTCCCCGGGGGCGGAGGCCCACACAGGGGGCTCTCCCAGCCCGGAGGTCCTGCGGAGGGGAACCCCGCTATTACTGTCCCAGCAGCACTGTAACAACCGAGAGCCCGAGAGCAATTCCGAACAATTCCGATCACACCGAGAGCCGTAAACCATCGTTAATTTAAGAAGCACTAATCGTTTGCGTTTTACTCTTCATGTAATGAGCTCCCAGCGCAAACACCGTCCGAGAAAGGACAGCCTTCATCTCGCTAAGCGCGGCGGCTGAGCTCCCCTCTCTCCCATCATCACCTGGTAGCCGCAGCCCGGAGGGTCGTGTCTCGGCGAGCGGGCAGGGAAGCCCCGAGTCCCGGTGACCAGCAGCAGGAGCAGAAGGACACTCGCAGCGCCAGCTGCCATCTTCAAACTGCAGCCCCCAGCCAGAGGCGCGGGGTCATATGACAGGGCTCGGCGTCACCTGACCGCAGCGCGAGCAGCTGACGGCTCGTGGGCGGGGGCAGGCCAGGGGAGGGGAGGGGCCTGTGCGCGTCACCTGCTCGTGGGCAGAACAACCGGAAGACCACTAGGGTCTGACGCTTAAAGACTGCTCCTGAGGTCTCTGCTGTTTCCCAGCTACGTCGATCTTCAAGCTTCCTCTGAGGTTCTCAAGGATCCTCTCCTCCAGCTTCCTCGCCCTTCTTTCTGTGTTGTGCTGGACGAGAGTGTTCCTCTCTCCGGAGGAATAGGCGCTGCGTGTCGTGTTATTACTGCAGCACGCAGCCTGCAGGAGCTGTGAAGGGCATGGGCTTCCTGTGTGGACGTGTCACCGTGGGCCTGCTTAAACGTTTACCACGGGATACCATAACTGCACGTTTCCTTGACAACGCCGCGACTCCGCTTCGGCTCCAGTCCCTTCCCATCCACCCGCCCCCTCTGTGTGGACCAGAGGACACGGCGTCGCCAGGCGCAACCGCCTCCATCCGGGTGGGCGCAACCGGAGTGGCCGCTGTCTGCTTGTTGCTGTTGTGATTGTAACAGACACCTGTTTCACAGTTTAAAAGAGCCTCCCACCCCATCTTTCCTGTTTCTGAAGAGTGTCACACCCCTTCTCCCTCACACTCTCAATTCAATTCAAGCTTTATTGGCATGACCATTGAATTTCAGTATTGCTAAAGCATGTACAATTAACACAGCATCTACAAACATTTATTATATAGACACATCAAATCTTTCACATCACACTCTCTCTCATCACAGAACATCACACTCTCTCCCATCACACTCATCACAGAACATCACACTCATCACAGCACATCACACTCTCTCTGTCCCTCACACTCTCTGGCTCGTGTGTCTGATTGTGGTGTATTTCTTGCAGTGAGTCTCTCTCTCTCTGGTCAGTTATTTAGCTAGTTTGTCTTGTCTTTTTAGGGTCCTGTAGCAGATGAGTTTGTGTGTCCAGTGGGTGAGGAAGTATTGTCCAGTGTGTTGTGTGTGTCCAGTGGGTGTTGAGTTTGTGTTTCCAGTGGGTGAGGTAATATGCAGAAAGAAAGGCCTTAATTTTACCAGGTGCAGCAATGCTGTGTTTGTGTCTGCTCTGTTTTGTGCTTAGTGTTGTGCCAAGGGAATGCTCAGTCAGTACTCACAGAAGTACAGGACAGGATTCACTGTGGATGTTAAGCCAGTAGAGGGAGCCCTGACTCTATAACACAGCATGTACAGCAGACCTTCCCATTCCTGGTGTCTAGATCTTAAACAATGTAATAGTTCTAACTAAATAGTCTACCTTCTGTCAAAGGCTGAATTAAGTTACAGTCAAATCCACACACATAGCCCTGCTATACAGTCAATGATACACTGTATATCCCTTATACACAGCCCTGAAATACAAACCTGTTACATAATCCTGATACAGACCTGATACACAGCCCTGTTATACTGTATAGCCCTGATACACAGACCCCAGCAGAGAGCAGCACACTGCTGAAAGACGACTCATCTGGATCTTACCTGCTCTGGGCCACTGTAGGAGCAGTTTTTTCACCCAAAACCAGAGGAAATTTTTGGGATATTTGGGATGTTTGAGCTTCCCATGAGGGGAAAGAACAAGGCCCGTCTCTGTGCTGGGAGGTAAACACTATCCCAGGCCAGGGAGCGCAGAATCGGAGTCGAGGGCTGGAGAAAGGTTTCACCACATCCCTCCCAAACTCTGAGTCCCAATTCCGGGAGTGTGTGTCACATCATGGAGCAGGACAGTGGAACTGCAGAGACCCAAGAGGAGAAAGAGGAAGGTTCTTATGGCTCCTATTTCCACACAAAGATCCCCAAGATCTGAGATGAGCCCCTACAGCCCAGAGATCACAGCTGGGCTCCCAGTCTGAGATGAGCCCCTACAGCCCAGA